TGACCGATATACCGATACTTGATGAAATACATTCTTCTCTCTTTTCTAATATCACTATTTGAAATATAAAAAAAACTTCTAATATTGTCGTTTTTTGTTTATTTTAGGAATTATATGAATGATAGTTTACGTACCGATATTTTTCTACGTTTTCCTCCTGAAACAATTGCTTGTGCATGTATCGATTTAGCAGCACGAAATCTTCAAGTAAGAAATAAATTAAGAACTTGTAATAAAATTCTTATCTGCTTTTTCTTATATAAAATAGATTGCATTACCAAAAAACCCACCATGGTATCTTATATTTGGTGCAAAACCAGAAGAAATTCGTTATATTATGATTCAAATTCTTCGAATATATAAACATCGACCAGTAAAGAAAAATACGAAAAGGTTTATATTTAATTTATATATATTTATTTTTTTAGAAACCACTTGATGAACTTGAAAAAATTGTTAATTCAATTCGTGAAAAACGTGAGAATGAAAGAAGAAAATTTCGTCCAGATTTTGGTAATGATTCTCCTGCTCCACAACAAACTATTCAGACAAATATATCATCAACAGGAGTTTCATTTTCAACACCAACGAACATACAACCTGACAGTATGAAAATTATTGTTTCTAGTTTTATCTTTCTTATACATTTATTTTGTTTAGTAGCCAATGTAATAACAACAACAACGACGACAATAGTAGAAGAAGTAACTAAAGTGACAAGTGAATCTTTAAATGGAACAACAGCAACAACAATAATAATAAAACAACATGATAGTGAAACTTTACGTGAATCATCAACAAACAATAATAATCGACATCATCATCATCATCATCATCGAAGAAAAAGAAGTACCACTCCAAGCAGGTAAAGTTTTTTTTAAGTGACAAATGTGATAGAATATTTCCACTCGAGTATTTTAAAATGAAAACTAAGGATTTTATTATTTAGATCTTCATCACGATCATATTCTCGTTCTCCAATTCATCATTCACAAAAGAAAAAGAAAACTTCACATCGTAGTCGTTCACGATCTCGGTATGACTACTTACTATCATTAATTACATAAATTCTAATCATTAAATATCCGTACTTTTAGTTCGTCATCACGTAGAAGACATAGACATCTAAAAGATAAACGACATCATAGTAGTGGTTATACATCCAGTAATCATCAGAAGAAAGATAAAAAACAACGAACACAGGATGACAAGTAAATTTTGTTATTATATTTTATACGATAAAAACTAATTTACTTTTAGTTATACTTCGAATAATATCAAATACTCAACATCAACTAAGGATGCAAATAATAATATTCACCAACGTTCACATCGTCAATCATCAAAAGAAACAAACGGTGTTTCATCATCATCATCCAATAGAAAAATCATTTTGAAATAATAAAAACTAGTCATTATTATATGTATAGATTTATGTTTTTTTCTTTCGTTAACTGTATCTTGTATGAAGATTAAAAATAAACAAGAGAAACAAATGGATTGTAATTTGATGAAATTTTTATATTTTTCGAAAAAAAAAGATTTTTGTAGATGTGATCAAGTAGATTTTGTACATGTCGAATTCACCAAAACGTTTAGAAATACGTTTAAAAGAACGTGAAGATGAATATATTTGTTATAAACAATTTTCTGTACTTGTTGGAACATTTAATGTTAATAATCGACAAGCACCAACAAATATTTTACTTGAACAATGGTTATATCAAGTAACAGATAATGACGAAGAAACGAAAGAAAAATATATTCCAGATATAATTGCTGTTGGTTTTCAAGAAATTGATACAAGTGGTGGTGCATATATATATGATGATAAGAAAAAAGAAGATGAATGGGAACATTTAGTACAAAAAACAATAAAATCTTGTTATGGAACAAATAATAAAGAAAATATTAAATATGAATTACTTAATCGTGTTAGATTGATAGGTAAGAATAATTTAGATTTTTAATAATGATAATCAATAGTAATTGATTTTCATTAGTTCCTGTTATATATAACTTAATATAGTTAATAACAATACTCTATGAAGAGAATTCATATTTACAAATCGTGTACAGGTAACGCTCGTCAGCGGGCTCGCTTAGCTTTTTCTCGTAGAAATGCATCGTCCTCACAATTAGTGGAAAAACAATTGAAAACCTTGCTCTTCCCTACTCAGTAGTACACGCAGAGCAAAACATATTAGGCCTGTCAGTACCAGTGGCTTGTGGTACTAGCCTTTAACGAATAAGTGAAGTGTTAGTAATCTTATATGCAAGAAAGCCAACAGTTTACGATCGCCACACTCTGCAGTACAAGCAGGTGATCATTTAGATACCCATAGAAATGCATTGCCCAAAAACTCGGTTTCTAATAATTTACGTCACTTCTTCCAATTCATCGTTCCCTCTCCCCTTCAGTAGTCCGAGCAAATAAGGCACACATCTGAAGTCTCCGCATCGAAATACCTCTGTAAATCGATCTTCAATGTTTTTGTGACCCTGCGGGCAGACAGGCAAACAATTTATTTCTACTAGACTCTTCTCTACGAGAAAGATAACTATGAAGAATTCTTTCAAATAGATTATATGTAAAAACATGTACCTTTTCTATCGATTATTTAACATCAAGTAAGTGCTATTCGTTATGTGATATGAATTATAATTTTGATCGTGATAAACTTTTGCTAATAAAACTTTGAGTGTAAACCATTGAATAATAATCGATAGTATTATTATGATTTGTCTACATTAGTTTACAATGATATTCCTTTCGTTTTTTAGGTATCTTATTATTTGTTTATGTACGTTCAACTCATGTACCGAAATGTACATTGATATCTCGTGCGTCAGTTCCAACTGGTTTTATGGGTCTTGCTGGTAATAAAGGTGGTGTTGGTATTCGTTTTCGTTTTTATGAAACGGATATATGTTTTGTTAATTCACATTTTGCATCTGGAGATGGACAAACAAATCGACGTAATGATGATTATCAGAAAATTGAATCAGGTATGGCTTTTACTGATGGGCCGACTTATTCATTTAAAGATTACATTTGGTATACACCAACAACAGCTGTTAGTAGTGCTCCAAATCCAGCTACTTCTAATCAATGGTGAGTAATAACAGACAAATAATTATATTATAGCGTTTAATTTTTATTTAGGTGGAAAATAAGTGATCATGATATAATATTTTGGTGTGGTGATATGAATTATCGTATATCTCAACCTAATGAACAAGTTCGTAAAGCTATAAATGAACTTTCAACTGTACCATTACATGAAAAAGATCAATTACGTTGTGAAATGAAATTAAATAATGTTTTTAGTGGTTATTATGAACCACCTATTGACTTTATGCCAACATATAAATTCGATATAAATACCGATACATATGATACAAGTGAAAAATTACGTACACCATCATGGACAGATCGTATATTATATCGTCCAAAACGTTCCAAAGTTCTTAATGATAATCAAACAGAATTAGAAAGTATAAAACCAATCCATTATTTATCCGCAAATAATATTAAATTTAGTGATCATCGTCCAGTTAGTGGTCTCTATTCAGTTGTTATTAAATATGAATGTGATGAAAAACGTTCAAGTCGTATTCGAGAAGAATTAATACGTGAATTTGATCGATTAGAAAATGATTCTATACCTACAATTGAAGTTGAACCTCGTCCACCCGAAATCAAATTTAATCATATACGTTATTTAGATAAACCAACATATACATTAAAAATAAAAAATATTGGTGAATGTTCATGTTTATGTTCAATATCACCATCATCAATTTCACCATCATTTCAATGTTTAACATTTACACCCAATCAACCATATACAATCAATGTTAAACAAGAACAATATGTTAATATAAATTTTAATGCAAAATTTAATGTTCATTCAATAAGTGAAATACTTATTTTACATGTTGAAAATGGTGCTGATACATTTATTACATTAGATGTTACATTTGATCATGGTCCATTTGGTTTAGCATTAAATGAATATCCATCAACATTTTATGATCGTGAAAATAAAAAATATATTTATACAATAGAAAATAAATTTCAATCCGAACATATTGTTGAAATGATTAATGATCCACCAATACTTTATATTTCGTTAATTGATTGTTTAAAAGAACGTGATGATCTTAATTTAATATCGATATTTAATAATGATACACAAGATTCACTTGATTTATTACCATTACGAGATCAATTATATGAAAATAATTTTGATTTTACAAATTATTCAACAGCACAATTATTTATGATACTTTTACATCTTTTACAATCATTAAGACAACCATTGATATCATTTGAAATACAAGATAAAATATTTCGTAATAGAAATGATAATCTATCAAAACAAGATGATATGACAAAAGCAATTAGTATTATAGTTGAACAAATGCAAGGAAAAGAACGAAATTTATTTTTTCGTTTACTTTTACTTTTACAAAAATGTTGGCCAACTAAAGGACAAATTGAAAAAATCGAAAATGAATCTGGGGATATATTAAATATTTGTATTGATATTCTAGCGCTTTCAATTTTACATGAACATCTTGATAGAAATCAACGACGTGCTTTTATTTTAGCTTGTCTTAATGAAGAAAATAAAAATTAGAATATTTTAGTTTTATTTTCGCAATTTCTTTTTTTTCATACCAATCTCTACTTTCTTTCTTTTTTGTCGTTGTTGTTGTTGTTGTTCGCTTTGACAGTATGTGCTATATATTATTTTCTTTTTTTTTCTTTTAATAAAGTAACAAAATTTATTGATAATTATATGTATGTTGGTAAACAAGAGAAATCATAAATACAAAGTCTTATCACCACAATGAAATTTTGAGGATGAGGATATTCTTCTTCTTCATCTTCACTTCTTGTCCTTAAGATAGTGTGTAGATGAATAGTATGGAGAATAACATTCTCGATGATACTTCACTTTTGTTTCATCAAAAAGGACTTACATCTTGCTAGACTGATTTTACTGTTTTCTACAACAATATTACTCGTGTCTATTAAACTATAAAAAACTACTGAAGATTACTTTCATATTTTGAACATTTAACAACATGCAGTATCATCAAATCATCCTAATCTCATATGTATGAAAAAAAGCCAATAAATCTTTATCGATTACAACGAGATCACAATATTCGTGTCTATTATATATCATTTGATATCTATAAAACAATCTTAACAAAAACGTGGCGTATATTTTGTTATTTTGTAGTTGACGTCATTTTTTTTCGGGTTTTTTCCTATTCAACGAGTAGTTGTAATATCATGTGAAATAAATGATGCGCGACGAATATATATTCATTCAGGTAGCGAGAAAAAAAACAACTCATCATATCACTCGCATACAACGTTATAAAGCACGCATTTCATCAAGACTCTACAATGGAAAATCAAACTGTCGCGAACTTCCATACGTTACCGGTAGACAATGTCTACCGAATTCTAGATCATGCATCGGATCTGACAATGCTATGCTCGATGACCAATGTATGTCAACGGTTCAATAAGATCCTAAACACCTATCATCGATACCAGGTAAACTTTTTTCTATCCATACAGTCTAATTTGTTTTTATTGACTCATCAGACTATTTTGCGCAGCAGCAACTGACAGACTATTATTTATAACCCAGAAATTTTTCCTTCTTTCACAAAAAAATTTAAAATTCAAGCAACAGATAGATAAACATATTCTACGCATACGCAACCCCTTTCTAACTTTTCCTTCAAATCAGTTTTTTCATAACAATCTTGAGCATTGCACAGAATCTAAATACAAAGTATTAAGACTCATTTCTATGTGTTCTTAGATGGAGTCCTACCAACTTTTATTCCATCGATCTAAACACGTGTAACAATGCTCAAATATTCTATTCCTTCATCTATATCATGTCTTTACTTATTCGTTTTCATTTAGACACTCACCACACTAGACCTCACGAACAATAAAATCGGAGATATTGGGGCACAACATTTGGCCGATGCATTACGACACAACACAGTAACCGTCTTTCTTCCTTTATCTATATCATGTCTTTACTTACGCTTTTTCATCTAGATACTGACTACACTATATCTCGATTCCAATCAAATCGGACATGTTGGAGCACAACATTTGGCAGTTGCAATACAACACAACACAGTAAATATCTTTCTCTCTGAGTCTGTATCATGTTTTTACTTACACTTTTTCATCCAGACACTCACCACACTAGATCTCAAGGACAATGAAATCGGAGATGTTGGGGCACAACATTTGGGTGATGCATTACGACACAGCACAGTAACTATTCTTTCTCTCTTTATCTATATCATGTCCTTATCTACACTTTCTCATCTAGACACTTACCTCAATAGTTCTCATGAACACTGGAATCGGAGATGTTGGGGCACAACATTTGGCTGATGCATTACAACACAACACAGTAACCGCCTTTCTTTCTCTATCTATATCATGTCTTTACTTATACTTTTTCATGTAGTCACTCACCACACTAGATTTCTACCACAATAAAATCGGACAAGTTGGAGCACAACATTTGGCTGATGCATTACAACACAACACAGTAAATGTCTTTATCTTTTCACCCGTCTCATGCGCTTATCGACACATTCTAATCTAGACACTAATCACACTACGTCTAAATTCGAATCAAATTGGAGCTGTTGGAGCACAACATTTAGCTAATCGGTTACAACACAACACAGTAACTATTCTTTTTCTCTTTAACTATATCATGAGTTAACTTACACTTTTTCACCTAGTCAATCACCGAACTAGAACTCCAATGGAATCAAATAGGAGATGTTGGAGCACAACATTTGGCCGATGCATTACGATACAACACAGTAACTATTCTTTCTCTCTTTATCTGTGTCATGTTTTTACTGATACTTTTTCATCTAGACCCTCACCATACTAGATCTCGAAGCTAATAAAATCGGAGATGTTGGTGCACAACATTTGGCCGATGCAATACGATACAATACAGTAACTGTTCTTTCTCTCTTTATCTGTATCATGACATTACTTGCACTTTTCCATCTAGACACTCACTATACTAAATATCTGGAACAATGAAATCGGAGATGTTGGGGCACAACATTTGGCTGATGCATTACAACACAACACAGTAACTGTCTTCCTCTCTATATCTGAGGCATGTCTTTACTTATACTTTTTCATGTAGTCACTCACCACACTACATCTCTGGAACAATGAAATCGGACATGTTGGAGCACAGCATTTGGGTAATGCATTACGATACAACACAGTAATTGTCATTCTCTCTTTATGTAGCTCTTATATTTACCTACACTTTTTCATCTAGACACTGACCACACTAAATCTCACGGAGAATGGAATTGGAGATGTTGGAGCACAACATTTGGCGGATGCATTACAACACAACACAGTAACTGTTTTTCTCTCTCTATCTATGTTATGTCTTTATTTACACTTTTTCATGTAGACACTCGCCATACTGAATCTCCAGTGTAATGGAATAGGATATGTTGGAGGACAACATTTGGCTGATGGATTGCGATACAACGCAGTAGTTATCATTTTGCTTTTGTCTATACCATGTCTTAATATACATTTTTTCATCTAGACACTGATCAAACTAGATCTCGATGACAATGAAATCGGAGTTGAAGCGTACCGTATCATATCTAAGTTTTTGAAACGCAATAGTGGTGAATGATAGTCGTGATCGTGAATGGAAATATTAGATGTATTCCGATGACGAACTGCTAGAGGATGATGGTGTTGAGTATTTTTTTATTGTGTTGTAATATTCGAAAAAATAATAAATAAGAGTGTTGATTTTCAAAGTTAATGTGAATTCTGATGATAGATTTTGCTGACGTTTTTTGGTGTTTGGTGAGAAGCTGTTATTTCAAAATAGATAAATATAGTTTTTGCGAAATTTTCTATTAGTCTGTAGTATGCACAAAACTAGATTATGATTGTGTATAGCAATAGTGAAATCCGAGAGAATTGTTTCTAGTTACAAAAGGTCATAAAACGTTTTGTAGAATAGTAGCAGACTTCTGTAAGATCTTTGAGAGAGACCTTGAATGACAAAAATTCCTTCTGATAACAGTAAAACCCGAAGCAGTTCTTTTGAAGGATGCTGGAGAAAGACTCTGCCCGATAATGGTGAACTAAGAAAGTTGTTCTCCATTATTGCTGAACAGTGTAGTGTGAAATAGTTTTGAGAAAAAAACAGTCTCTATTTATTAGTACTGATCTTAGAATGATTCTCTGTTCAGTACTGTTGAACTATATGTGGTTGTTCTAGTTTTACCGAATTCCTCATGATTTGATAGATGAACAGCTGAATCATGAAAAATTTATCGATAGAATAAAAGATTCACTATGGGACTGTGTTATAAGGATGAAAACTCTTTTTTTTTAAATAGTTTTATTTATGGTTAAACGCACTATCGCATTTAGTTATGTTATTTTTTTATGCTTAACTAAATAATATTGTTTTAACATCAAATTGGATTAAGTTTCTTCTATAATTAAAAGAAGACCTATTTGTTGTTAGTCGAGTCCAACTATATGAAGTTTACAATTTGAAGTTTCATTTAACTTGTTTCTCTTTCAATAACTTCGATTGTTCGCTGATGACTAATCATTAAATAAGATTTAGAAGTGTTTAACACTACATTCGTCAACTGTTACTTCTACTAGAACAGTGTCCTCTAAACAATACGTAACATTCTCAGATTTGTCTTGGTCTCAGAAAAAAATTTGTAACAAGTTTAGAACCAATCATTGCAAAATAATGTTATGAAGGATATATTGTTATCATTAAACCTAATTTCACTTACATTCTGACTCTTTGGTTGTCGAAATAGAACGGTTATTTTCGAATCTCTTCTCATTAAAACTAAAAATTGAACTGATATTCATTACAAATAAATAAAAATAAGTACTGTAATCAATATTGCTTCTACTTCCTATCTAAGATGATTTCGAAAAATAGTCTCGACTGATACTATACAACTTCATAAAGTTTCACACAATCAAGTCAAAAAGTGATGATGTATTGAGAAATGCCAATCGATGTGAGGCATATGAGCATTGAGCATGTAAACGACATTGAAAAATGTGAACGGGTGTGGGTGTTTCTCCTCCTATGCCACACTCATACCTACATCCTCAAGAATTTAGAATAATCAAGTATTTCAATGGTTGATTTAAATTACAAAAAAAAAGAATATGATTTTTCTTTCATTTTATTCAATCCCTCGTAGGAATATGTATAATATTGATAAATAGGAGTAGAAGGAGAAGAAAAACAAAAATAGTTAAAAAGTATATTTAGTTTTTCTTTGTGAGAATTTTCTTTCAATACAACAATGAACATTAACCGATAAATAAACGTATGAGAACAATGGTTGTTTTCCTTTTAAGTGCATATTTCCCTTTCTCTCTCTCTCTCTCCTCCTTAAGCCAGAAAAACGATAAAGATAAGAAAAAAAATAATCAACACGGCAAAAACTTTAATAATAAGCCAACGATTTGATGTAACCGAACGAAGATATTTAAGTAATTCTGTATGTGCACCTTCAATATGTGATGTTGCATCGTCCACATTAGCATCAATTCTAAATTAAACAAACATATTTTTTTTGTTCTAATAAAAATTCTTCTTTATAGAATTCTTTACCTATGGATAAGTTCTTCTTGTTGTCGGACCATTGTAGCTAATTGAGTAAAAATATCTCCAAGTTCAACTATTGTTTGTTCAATATTTTGCATTGCTTCCGAACGAGTTGCCAAATATGTATCCTATTTTATTTTATTATTAAATTCAATTATTTATAAAAAAAAAATAAATAATCATACGGTTTCATCGATGGCTAGTAATTGTTGTTTCATAGAAGAATGATGTCCTCCATCTGAGCCCATATCAATAACTGCATCACCTCCACTAGTAGTTCGTTGTTCATCGCGAAAAAGTACAGATGGACGACCTAGAAATAGCGAAATATAGGAAATATATTTCATATTGAAATTTACCATTCGCAATTGATGGCGCAGCAGTTAAAGATGATGCAACTGTATTGCGTGAGAAAACATCTCGACGTGTTTTTTCGTCTTTTAAATTCTAAACAAAAATATACATCATATCATTTATCCTGCATTTTGTTTTTACATACTTGAGTTCGAGCTTCCAGAACTTGTTTAAAATCATTAGACATAGTTGCTAATTTGGACTAGAATCGAATTTTATAGATTTATTTCGATAGAAAAAGAAAATAATACTATTTACCTGTAGAACGAAAACAACTGAACTGGAATGTGTTTGTGAATTTTTCGATTTCACACCATTCGTATCCCTCATATACTTAAAATAACAAAAAAACAAATTTGTATATATAAACAAGTTTAAAATGTTTAATATACTTGTTGTAATTGTGCAATTTGTCGATTTAAATTACCAATATCTTGTTTTATTGATAATGTTAAATCTTGAATTTCCATGGTTCTATCATGAAATAATGATGATTGCTTGGCAACTAAAATAAAATGGATATATATATATATATATATATATGTTATTCTTAAACTTACTCATTGATAGTTGTTCCAATTTAAGAAATGTTTGTGATAGATCGTTTCCAATTCGTTTTGCGTGTTGCATAAATATACCACGTTGTTCCGTAGGTGATTGAGGATGTTGACGACGATTAATTGTAGTCGGAAGAGGACCATCAAGTCCATTCTAAATTATATATATAGAAGTATAAATTAGTTTCTATGAAATACGAATAATCTTACGCGTCTACTGGCAAATGTTCTCACTGTTGTTTGAAATTCACTTGTACGATCACGTCCGTTCGGCATTATAGTTAATGGTAAAAAGAAAGAAGAAGATGATGATGATGTATTATTGTTATTATTAAGAGTTTGATAAGGAAATGGTTCAAGAGTTTCAATATAAGTTGTAGTTGTAGTTGAGGGCAATGTTTTACTTGCTGATGGTGCCCAACGATGACGAGCTTCTTGCTGCATACACTAGATTCGTTATTATTGTTGTTAACACACTCTAATTAACATACATACCAATTGAAAACATATAAATATGTATATATATATATATCTGAAAATTGTAAACCTATTTTAAATTTGATGAAGAAGAAGAAAAAGCAATGATGATCATAATTTTTTTTTAGTTCAAATAAATAAATAACAAATGAAACGAGAAAAAAAAAGAAATTAATCATCACATAAGGAAAATTATCAATGAAAAAAGAAAGAAAGAAAGAAGACCCACCAATATTTTGATATCTTACGAAACATTTCAATACATAAAAAGATAAATTAAATTTGTTTTGTCTTTTCTCTCGAAATAAAATAATATTTAATTGGAATGAATAAATGAGATTCTAGAATATAAGTATCATTATAGTCTATTAATTATTTCGATGATGATGTTGAAATTAATAAGCTTATCTAAATATATAAATAAATAAATAAATCATTTAATTTCTATTGTTTTTTTGTTACCTGTTCTTGGGACGGACATCCAATTATTTGAAGATCTTCTTCAGAATATTGATCACGAATCAAAACAATTAATTCTTGATACACTTGTTGAATATTATTCTATAAATAAAATTATTAGAATTCCATTAGTGATTTACAATTTTAGATATGTAGACTAATAGAGTCCGACTCACTACAAACGCATATTATCAATACTGTGTAAACAGTTCTTAGTAAGACTTAAATATGAAGTATTATTTTCGATTTTTGAAGAATTATATCAAATTATCTAACTATAGTTTTCTACGTTCTCTAATTGAATATATAAATCTATTAACCCCTTAGGAACGGGAAGTACATATGTGCAGAGCTTCCAATAGCAGTAGTACACAGCGTAAGCAAAATGTGCTGTACACCTGCATTTTTTTATTTACAATTTGCTCGAAAAAGCAAAGTGTACGGTGCACATTTTGCGAAAATGATTTACAACTTGATTTTAAAATATCAGAGTCAGATTACGAAATGATATGCTTATTTATCACCCATATGTTTATTATTTAACAAGTATTTATATAAAGTACTCATGAAGAAAGTAGAATTATTTCCGTTTTTTACATTGGAAAACGTCATAAGTACACTTAGGGATGTGCAGTGTCAGTGAAAATACTGAAAAACGGACACTTAAAATATCAGTTCAGTGTCTATCGAACACTTATTTTCGGTGTTCGGTGCTTACCATGCCAGTTTTTCGGTGAAAACAATGATATTGTTGTAAATACTAAGGTTTAACACAAAAATATTTTAGAAACTGATACCTTCGGTGTTCAGCGAACAGTGACACCGATATTTTCAGTGGCACGATGAGCACAGAACACCGAAAATAAATGTCAGTGAAAATCGTTCTCAATGGAGTTCGGTACTCAGTAAACCGATACTGCACATCCCTTAGTACACTATATACACTTTGCAGGCAAAAAGAAGGTGTACACTTACGTTTTGTCTACCTAAGCAAAGCGTACCAATACGTTTTGTTTGAGCTTTCTATTGGAAACTCTACATATGTGTGCTTTGATTCTGACTTAACAAGTATCTGTCAGAACTAAATCTCTAAGAGCACTTTAATGGTAGAAATGATAGGTTAGACTATATTTACCACTTTCAACACATCGTAATGTATCTATATTTATCGTGTCCTCATTTACCTTCTTTCGTTTTGTAACTAAATGTGATATTTCGATTACGCCACTATCAACAAGAAAAACTCCTCGAAAACAATGTGTAGTCTACGCACAAGATTAACATATTTTGAAATACTGCTTGATGTTTATTCACATAAATACATCATTCAGTATTCTAGAAAATTCAGTTTCTTATGCTACAGTCACCCCGTCTTCAAGAGGCTGATCAAATATGACATACAATAGAAAAAATTTAATTCTATTTGTCAAATAGTACTTACTTTAACAGGTTTAAATAATATTTGTTCAGTATCTTTATTAGCTAAATAAAGTGACATCATTTTAAATATATCTGGTAATTGTTTTTTCATTAAATTATAATTTTCAATAATAAGATCATGTAAAATTTCTGGTTTAGCAAATGGTTGTTGTCGTAATGAAACTTTTTGTTTATTATTATTATCATGATTCATTTTTAAAATAATTTGTGATTTTTGTAAATATTGTCTTATTTGTCCGCATAATTGATTTGATATATCGGATATATATATTTCACATGTTTGTTTTAAATGTTTATCAACTTCACGTTTTGAATCAATGAATGATTCTTTAACTTGTAATGTACCTTGAAGAAGAAAATCTAGAAAAGCATTATCACGATTCATAGATAAGAATTTTGATCTTTGTGTTAAAAATTTCATAGCTGCTTCTTTTAATTTGCTAAAATCAATAACCATTTCTTTAACAGCAAAATCAACATTAAATGGCGCTATTTGTTCACGAAGAATCAATAAATGTTTTATTAAAAATAAACGACCATCTAAAGCGGTTTTACGTTTTATTATAAGTTCACTAGCAGTAATTAATGATTGAACACACATTGTTAAAGTTTCTTGAGATAAACCTTGAAAAATATTACGCTAAAATATAGAAAATGAATCGATATATGTATTGAAATGATTTTAATTTTAATTACATCAAGACAACGAAATAATTTTGATAAACAAACAAGTGTTCGTCGTACAGTTGGATACCACATGCCATGTAAATCAGCTGGTGATGATGACACTTGACCATCTTTTGTTGTTATAGGAGATGATATAACTGAAAGATCCGTACCAGGTATTGTTTCAAAAAAAACTTCATTTCCTGAATCAGTTGATGATTGAGAATTTAATTTCGATTGACGTTGTTCTTTAAGTGATTGAGCTATTTTCTAAAATTAGAATAATGTTTTTGTTTGTTCTTTTATTAAATTTAGTTTTTTTAAATATTTACCTGCATCATTTCAAGTTTTTCAGGATAAGCAATATCACCAGGTGATGGTTTATAACCAAGTATTTCATTACGTATATAAACTTGTGTACGGTAGACAAGACGTTCTTGTACATCTTCAAGCATTTGTGTACATACTGCTTCAAATGTTGATAATTCTTTAGCTGTATTAAATAAAAAAAGAAAAGAATTAAAAGAAAAAAAAATATTATTTTCATACCACTATTTTTAACATGTTCTTCAAGCATTTCGACTTTTAAAATAGTTACAAGTTCAGCAAGAGTTTCCAAATGAATTACATGAATGATTCGTGAACGAAGATTATCATAAAGTAAATGACAAAATTCAGATAACATTGTACTAAATTATAGGAAAAAGACGTATTGTAATTGAACAAAACTAAACATTACAACATACTCTAAATGCATTGAATGTTTAGAAAAAAATTGATAAAATAATTGATATTCATCTTGACAAAGATGCAATAAAAATGCACAACCACTTCGAACCTTGAATAATCAAATTACATCTAATAGATTCTTTTTTATTCAAAAGATTTTTTTATTTACTAATGTACACATATCTCGTTCATGTTTAATTGCTAAATCTTGTATAGCACTTTGTACACTAAAAAATAAATTCTTTATAAGAATAAAATAAAAGTTTTCTTTCTAACCTTGAAGTTAATAACATTCGCCTTTGATTTGTATAACATTCGTGACAATCCGACAGAGTTTTTTCATATCTATAATTGAATAATAATAATAATAAAACAAAACAAAATTATCTCGATCATATTTACTCAGGATTTCTTGCACAACGTTGTTCAAGTTCTTCTGCTAATACTTTTACTTTAGGTGCATTTATTCGAAATCGTCCATAGAATAATGTATATGCATCATCAGATAACAATGTCGTATTCTTAATTAATCGAAACGATAATAATAAACATGTTTTCTTATTTTCACTTACCTACCTTCTTCGGATCGATTGTATTTGAAGAATTTTGTAATATATGAATAATATGTGCTTTGATAATATTCAAAGCTTTCAATAAAACATCTTTCATCTGATTTTTATATATAAGAGATTGTTTAAATGAATTCTAGAAAAAATATCAATTAAAGAAGAAAACAAAATATTATTTTTCTGTTTACATACATGTGTATCAAAATAAGCTAAACATTCATCAATACGAGTTAATGTTGGAATTAATTGTTTTATATCAGAAACTAATGGTGTTATTGAAAGATTCTAAGAATAAATATTCTAATAGAATAGAAATAGATAATACCAAAATATATTATTTTACTTTAGAAAATCGATCAACATCATCGAAGTAAGATAAACGATTTTCAATACATTCAGTCATATTTAATAATTTAGCTTGATCAGCTAATAATTGTTCACATGCTCGATAAAGAGAATTTGTTTTATAAGACACTTTCGTATATGTTTCATGTAATGTATCTAAATATTTAACTGCTTCATTAATATCATTGTACAATGTTTGACATTGTTGTTCCCATAAACAAACACGTTCGAATGTATTTCTAAAATTAAAATGAATAATATAATATTTAGCAATAGCTATATCCTTACCCTTGTTGTAAATCTCCTTTTGAAGCAATCGGTATATTTTCATAGGGTCCTAATGATTGTTCAATCCAAATATCTAACTATAAATAAAAATTTCAAATAAAAAAATTTATTCTTCCTTCCTTATATTTTTACTTGTTGTAAATCAGCATTTCTCCATGGTATCAATTCATTATTGTTATTATTATTCTTAAGTAGAAAGAAGAAAAAAAATGAAATGTCATATAATTCATTTTAACTTACATCATTGTTATTTAAACCATATTTCGAATCAATTAAATCTTTAAGTGAACTAACCGATTGCCAAGCATGATTATTCAATGGTGCAACACATTTTTCGAGATTATTATCATCGTCCTTCGATGAATTTTCCCATAAAGTTGTTCGATTAATTAATAACGATGTTGAAGATTGTAATGTTTCAGTTGTTTGCATTCTGTTGGTATTGATTCATACAAAGAAAAAAAATCACTCACACGTGTAAATGATATCTCATCTAAATAATTGAAAAATGTCATGTTTCAAAAAAACAGAACAAATAAATAAATAAACAAAAAACAATAACGAACGTGGCCAATGACGTCATATTTTATTGGATAAAAATAGCATCGAATTATTTTTTTCCGATAGATGGCGTTCAATAAAATAAACTATATCTTAAATCATATTAAAAAGATAAGGTAAATAACTCCTTATAGATAAATAAGAAAAAAAAACAATGTCGAATGAATTTTTTGTTCGATTTGATGAAAATTTGCTTCGATTACCATCATGTTTAGCAGTTCATGCTCAACTTCATCCTAATTTGATTAAATTTACATGTGAAGAATATGTTAAATATATTCAACAATTCCATGAATTAAATATATGTGGCATTATAAGAAAAAATGAAGCAGAAACTACAGTTCTAGCTTTGGCTGCCTATCGAAAACATTTAAATACATTCTATACAATTCGTTTTGAAATTGATGATTTAATTGTCGATGAGAAAGAACGAAAACATGGTTTAGGTACACGTCTTATGCATTATTTAATTGATCATGCTAAACAAGAGGGTGTATCAAAAATTTCTGTTCATTGTAATCCAATACATACAGATGCGCATCGATTATTTTTTCGTCTTGGTTTAACAATAAATTGTTTTGAATTCGATTTAGAAAATAAAACAGTATTACCTGATAATGATCAAATACGTATTATTGATGTAACAGATTTACCCGATAAAGAGAATGAACAATTATTAATTCGAGCTCATGAAATATATCAACAACTTCGTCCACATTTGCCAAATGATCAAAATGAGTATGTTAAGCAACTTCGAGATATTTGTCGTACAAGTCCTGCTCGAATATTATTTGTATTAGATAAAAATGATAACATACTTGGATTAACCTGCTATCGTATTACTGAAAATATTCAATATTCAAAGCATATTTATTGTGATGATTTAGTTACGGATGAAAATAGACGAAGTTCAGGTGTTGGTCGATTTTTAATTAATTATATGAAAAATGAAAGAGAGAAATTAGGAATTGATAAATTAATTTTAGATAGTGGTGTTCAACGAGGACGAGCACATAAATTTTATCATCGAGAAGGTTTTTATATCAGTCGCTATGGATTTTCAATGGCAATTTAATTTTAATTAACCACATCTAAATAAACTATTTTTTAAGCAAAATATTTTGAAATAAAATTTGATATATTCTAAAAGATAATAAAATTCAAAATGCATTACATGCATGTTCATTTGATTGATTATTTTCTTCTAATTTATTATATATACTTTAATTTGTGAGATAAGCAATAGCATAATCCTACAGGAAATATAGGAAAGCGAACATTGGCCCAAATTTTTCCGATAAAAAACAACAGACCATTTTAAATTAAAGTTTGAAATCATCATTGTAACGATGAAAATAATACTAATTGTATCAATACGGTGATTTTATATTCTCTTTCTCGTAGAGAAGAGTCTTGGAAAAATAAATTGCTTGCTTGTGTATCCGCACTAGAGATGTGTGGGACTGATCCCGGCGACCGGAATCGGAACCGAAAAAACTTGATCTCGCACATCTCCAGGTCACTCGTCTTGCTATATATCACGCGATTGATTATGCGTTTACTCATTCTATTACTGCTTGATATTTTCTTCTCTTATTTATATACATATGTATCATACTCCTTCTTGTCCAGGTTATTTTATCCTTCAATGTTATTGTGTTTGGTCAAACTAATTTTGTTTTATTCTCTCCTTTCTCTTTTTCCATTATATCTACACATATATTTCAACTTCAGGAGTTAGTCAGACCTATTTTATTATTGTTATGAATACACATGAATACTATCCTAGTCGAACGCTTGTTATTGAAGAAGGATTTTTTGATGTTTATACATAAGCTGCTGAACAAGATTAAGACGGTTACTAAGGAACTCAACAAGTACTGTACTCAATCCACCAAACATTCTTCGCTACACCATTGATTACACTATTTCTTCAATACTCATACAACGTACATTGATTAACTACTTATACTTGGTACGTGGACACATATAAATGAACTTTCTTATTTTTCAGCCAAAACTCAGTTCATAAACAACTCTTTTCAGTGTACCTTTATCAATCCAACAAATATTGCTTTATTTCTTCAATAAATTAACCGTTAGGTGGTTTTTGTTATAGAACGCATGTAAAATTCGGTACATCATTAAATGTGAAGAAATGCATTTATCGTGTTCTCTGTCATGTTTACAGGTACATACCGTAGCGTACTTTTCATACGAGCTTCGTGTAAGACTTAATGATAATGTACTGAATCGTTCTTTCTGAATGCAAAAAAAACGAGAGAGAAAAGGATACACATGTATGTTCTTCTCGTATAAATACGAGAACATTTTTTACTTTGTCAAGATTATTTTCTAATCATTAACACCACACACAGTTAGAATTTCTTATTCACTTGATTCTTTTTTTTAGATTTAACTTGACAATTATTTACTACATATTTCTGCTCAGAAACAAACGAATTATTTGAAAATGTCATCATCAAAACAACGCGTCATTCTCGTTACTGGAGCTAACAAAGGCATAGGTTTTGAAGTAATAAAGAAACTATTAGAAGAATCGTCTTCTTCTAGCAATAATCTTATTCTTCTTGGTAGTCGAGATTTAAAACGTGGTCAAGATGCTTTACTTCAATTAGGTTCTCCATCAAATGTACATGTTCTTCAGTTAGATACATCATCAGAAGAAAGTATTGCTCGTGCGACTGATGAAATCAAACAAAAATATGGTGGTCAATTAGATGTTCTTATTAATAATGCTGCTATTGCATCATGGAACGACACCGCTGAGACAGCACGAGATATTTTTGCTACTAATTATTATGGTATTAAAATAGTGAACAAATATTTATTTCCACTTATTCGAGAGAATGGCCGTGTAGTTAATGTGTCTAGCGGAGTAGGTGCTTGGGCATTACATGACATGACAGATGAAATTCAGAAGAAGTATAAATCAGAAACGTTGACTGAAGAAGAAATTGATGGTCTTGTTAAAGATTTTATTTCAGCTATTGCCACGAAAACAATCGACAAGATTATGCCTAATACCAAATTACTTGGTTTGTGCTATAGTGGATCAAAAACTGCACTTACCGCTCTTACACGTGTTCAGGCACGTCGATGGTCAGGTGCAAAAAATGTCCTTGTTGTGTCCGTGTGTCCAGGTTATTGCTCAACAGATTTGAATAATCATGGACCTGGATCACGTCCGCCGGCACTTGGTGCTGATTCTATTTTATATGTAGTCAACACTCCTAAAGCTGATCTGGAAAATGGCGAATTCTATCAAGATGGCAAAAAACTTCCGCAAAGTTCCGCATGTACAATGGACTTAAGCACACACAAACAACATGCGGAGGATAAAGCGTAAACAGTATCAATGTTTTACGAACGATCTTTATTTTAGAATATATTTTTTGTATCCTTTATAAATAGAAAATAAACTTCAACTGATTATATATTAACATTAATTGTTAACACTTATCTTTTAAGTCATTATACATCACAACTGATTATTTAGACTTTGTCAAATGATTTATTATACTTTTTATGAGAGACAAAGATGAGTCAGTTTCTTCGATATGAGGTCTCACCAGCTTGCCGAACTTACTTTTTTTATCAAGTCCGAAGTGCACAGAAATAGACTTGAACATTGCGGACGATCACTTCCCACTGCTTTGTATTTTCTCTCAAGTGGAAAGGAAAGAAAGTCAAGTGATCATATCACGAATCGAGCTTAGATTACAGAAAAAAAACAATAAATTAAGTAGTTTGTAGTATTCTTCTGCCATCTATAAAGTCGTTTCTCGCTCTCTCAGTAATACATTGGTATTAAGTTAACCAATAGTATTCCTTTTCTGTGCTGTTGTAATAATTAAAATAGTGAAATATTCTTTTCATTAAATTGCTAGATCGAAATGAAAGTTTTTACTTATTAAAATATGTAACTTTTCTAGATATACTTCATTTTTCAGTATAATCGCAATGTCTGTTATAATACATTCAAATAAATTATCCGAAACAACAGATTATGTTGTTCGACTGAATTTCGACGAAAAATTTCGTTCAACAAAAGTATAAGAAATCCTCTATTCTTGTATTAGTGATATAACTTGGAGATAAAAAAATTTGAACACGATGTATGTATAGAATGGACCAAAGATAGTATGTTAATTTTATTTATATTAAAAATAAGTGTTCGAAATATTTATTGATATAAACTAAGAAATCAAAAAAAAACGAGATAGTATTTATTTTGTCTATCAATTACAGACACTCATCTTGCATCATTAATTTTGTTGAAGGATAAATACATCACACAATGTCATATATCATAAAAAGGATATAACTATCTTAGTCATTCAATATGAAAATAAGTATTGACATAAAAGATATATTTAATGCTATGGAATAAATGTTCTATATTCGCTCTGCCTTTTTCAGTCTTAATGGGTATTTCTAAAGCTTTTAGGATAGATATGTGTTGATGATCAGAATAAAAAACTGTTTCATAGGTTTCTTTCTGATGTGATACGTTCATGTGAGATGAAACATCGAGAAGATTATAGTTTCCAATCAATAACATAAGTTAAATTAAAATAGGAGAACATAGACATCGTGTCTGAGAAAATAAGAAGTGTTTATCTAAGTTCTTACATAAAAATTTACCTTTCAAAACACTCGATCGAATAGAAAGTCTATATATTTCATAACACTAGCATAAATATGTATGAAATCATTTCTCTGCATAGTTGTACGATAGTATGAATAATATAGATGACAATTTCTTCCTTGTCTGTAATAATAATTTGAATTTCTATAGTTTTCTTTCAAATTACGCTATGAAATATATCATCATTAATCAGACGAATCAACGCAAACTACTTTTAAATACTAAAAGTGAGTTTAATTCTTTTTCTGATTGTTGATTACATCATAGAAGATGAGATTTTTTTTGTCCTTTATTAACTATAGTTACAGTCAATATACGTGATCGGCTTAAAGCATCTAATATGAAATTTGATCGTTACAAATTTTATTGTACAATGTATTATTGGTGAGAATAAAGGTCAAGGTGTTAAATATAGTTGTCGATGCTTATGGGATTCTGATACTGATGGAATGGCTGAATGAAAGTCTTTTTTTGTGCTGTAGCCACTTTCGGAATATTTTATTATTGATTCTATGTTAATTTGTATTTAATATAAAAAAAAATTTCGCCCATAAATATTTTAGATAAAATATATGGCTGACATTCTTTTTGAAGATATATTTGAAGTAAAAGATATTGATAGTGGCGGAAAAAAGTTTCTTCGAGGTAAATATAATTTATTGTCAATAATAAAACTCTTTCTTTCTTTTTTGTTTTACTTTTAGTTTCACGTATTTTTTGTGAATCGGAATCATTTAAAATGGATTTAATTCTTGATGTTAATACACAAATTTATCCCATGGAACTCGGTTAGTTTGTTGAGATAATATAATTTTATTATGAGATATTGTTTTTTTTCTCTTCTTGTGCTTCGTTCTTCATACATATATAATGAAAACGAGGGTATTAATATCAAATAAAAAAGAAGTGAGTAAGAGAAACGAAAGAGTGCACATAAATAATGCCAATTTTTCTCGTTTTCTTGCTTGCATACATATTTATATAATCTGATAAGAACATAAGTGGTGGATAAGAGAAGGTCTCGAAATTCGTATTGGACCAAAATGGCGGATAGAGAAAAAGGAAATTCAATAGGTAGACGCGTAAGAGAAAAGGAGAGAAAAAGAAATGTTGATCACAGCTGTTCGTCATTTTCAAATTATTCTCTCGTTGATCTTCTCTCTTGTGTTTGGATTACTTTTTCTGCTGTTACTACTACTACTTACACAATTTGAGCACGTATGCAAGTGAGTACATTAAAGTAATGTAGATGGAAGAAGAAGAAGAAGAAGAAGAAGAATAAAATCAAAGTAGTTACATAGAAGAAGAAGAAGAGGAAAAAAATAGGTCGATCTGCAATTTAAGGGTGTAATCCTTGGGTTCATAGTTCATTGATAATATTAGAACAGGTAAAATATGTATGATTATATAGGGCATTTATACATCGTCAGAATAAGAATAAGAATAAGAAGAAAAAAAAAGAGAGAAAATTTTCATTCCAATAAAAGTATGAAAAGACGAATTTATCGTGCATACACAGCTGACTTGATTTCACTTGAGTCAATCAACATAGCCTCCATCGTAATGATAATAAAAATCCATATATACACATATACTAAGCTCTCTCACGATGATAATAAAAACGAACACTATATATATTAATGATATCAATCCTCTTCAATGTCGGAAGAGAGAAAAGGTATTATGAAAAGAGCCATAAAAAAATCGAGAAGGTACTCTCTCTCCCTCTCTTTCTCATTTTCTCTTTTATATCGCTATAATTTTCGTTCTATAGTTTCATAAAAAAAGCCCGAGAATAAAAGTCTGATTCAAACTACAATTTTATATACTTTTAGGTGATAAATTTCGTTTAAAAATATGTACAACATTACGTGAAGATGGTAAACCAGATACAGGTGAATTTAATCAACATGATAATGCACCTAGTCGTGCTGATCAATTTGAATATGTAATGTATGGTCAAGTTTATCGAATTGAAGGTGATGAATCTGGCAGTGATACAGGTTCTACATTGTAAGTTAAATATATATATGTTAAAAGAGAGATAGATAAATATTTACCGTTCATTTGCTCGTGCCCGGCAATGCCTTTGCACGTGATCACCCAAAGACTGTAAATGCATTGGTCTGGTACGAACCATTGATACGATTTCATCGTTGTTCTGTGTTTTGATATTATATTTTATTGGTTTTTTTGTTATAGTAGATTATTAATTCATATTTTTTTGCTTATTTAGATCAGCCTATGTATCATTTGGTGGTCTTTTGATGCGTTTAAAAGGTGATGCTAACAATTTACATGGATTCAAAATTGATTCAAGTGTTTATCTACTCATGAAAAAATTGGCTTTTTAAAAGAAGAAAAAGCAAAGGAAAAACAAAAATATATAATGAAACTTTATGTTGTTATTGTTCTTTTTCATGTGTCTTTATTAGAAAAAAATTCAAAAGATAATTGACTTAATAGATGTCTGTTTGTAATACATATATAATTTCTATTTTTTTCTCAGAAGTATTCATTTCTCTAGTAAATCATATATATGAAGTGTCTTATGACATCGAAATCGAAAAACATAAATCAACTTTATATGATTATCTTAGTTGGACAAAATTTGTTTTACAGAAAATGAATAGTTAAAGTTCTTTCTAAGCGCCTAATAGAAAGACATTATAGTCAATAAATATGACTTAACAACCAAAAAATTCAATCGTTCAAAAGTTTATTTTTAATATATCTACCTATATATTAACACCTTTTTCTTCTATATGAAAATGAAATCTAATAAACATAAATCAATAATATCATCTGTCAATCAATCAAAATTTACAACAAGGTTATTGATTACTTATGTTGTTTTGAATTCATATTCGAATTTTCATTTATTAGTCTTAATAATCATTGTCGTCAAAACGAATATATAAAGTTTTTCAAACGTTTACTTCAATCATTGTCTAGAAATGATAATGAAAAGAATGGAATTTGTACATGTCAATCTTTTAATCGAAATACTAATGCATTTTGTAGTGATAATGATAGTCAACAGCAACAACAGCTCTATCCACATATGCGAAAAGTTTATGATAACGATACAAAATTACTTGAACATGTACATATTATTATGTCAACAACGAAACCAATTTGTTCTATCAATGAACAAAAACAACCAGAAGTAATAGTACAGCAACGTCCTCCTCGACGTACACGTGTTTCAAAACAACGTGCAAGAGTTTTAATTACTGAATATTGCTCGCGTAAAATATCTGATAATATAAAAGTACCAACGAATAAACGAAATCATTCATCGCTCTGCTTTTTTTGTATCGATTGAAGATAAGAAATGAAGTCGAATAATACATTCATAAGAGCAAGACGTAGTCTTAAAAAACCTATGAATACACAAATATCGAATTTAATTATTCGAGTTCAGTTAGTTTACAAAATACCATGGGCGCCTAGGCACATTGTTCGGCACGTACTCATAAGACACTCTGTGCCGGACTACTGAACACCATCCTATACTGCAAGGTAGCCGAAAAATAAGGAGATCCTTTCTTTTTCGTTTATAGAAGAGAATGATCGTAGTCTATATATTGACAATTATCAAAGAACTGAAATTACCTCAACTAGGGCGAATCTTAATTTGCCTCTATGCTAGTTTATATACATGAAAAATCATTGAATTTCATTTATAAAATCTTGTGCTTAATATATTATTATTAAAAACTATTTGAATCCTTTTTATCCATTAAATTGTTTTCTTGGCACGTCATACATACTTAAGTATGCAATATTGAATGATGACTTAGAAAAATGAATAAAAAAATATATGTTTGATTTCAATTGTATTTTTTTTAATTGAAAAGTTTCTACGATGTAAATAAATTTTTTTCTGAATTATTTTAAAACGAAAAAAAGAAAGGTTTTGTTCTGGACTAATATCATTATTTGGTCTAGTTGTACAAATCATCGTCGTTGTTGTTATTACCACCACCAGTACCACCTCCTATTTAAGAAAAAAAAAAAAGATATTATAACAGTTTTGTTTTTATTTAATATCAGTACCTTGTGATGGTTGTTGTTGTCCCTCAGGGAAACGAAATTGTGATCCAAAACCACGTGATTGTTGTAATGTTTGTGAAAACATTTCATATTTACGTATGTCGTTATCACTAACTGATCGTCGTGCAAACTTCATTGCTTCTTCAAAATGATCACGACGAATTTCTGGTACTGGATCGGTTTCATCTGCATCCATTGCTGTTTGTCCTTGACGTTGTCGTTCTTTTTCACGGTTAATTTCCTTTTCAATTGATTCTCGAATTGCTAATTTACATGCACGTTGACAAATTTCTGTTAAATCAGCACCACTAAAACCTTTTGTGATATTAGCCAATAAATTCATATCAACATCTTTTGCAACAGGTGATTTTCGTAAAGCAGATTTAAGAATAGCCATACGTGATTTTTCATCTGGTAATGGAATATAGATCAGTTGATCAAGACGACCTATGAGAATAAATTATTTAAGTAAGAAAACAAAATATTTTCATTGTTTTACCTGGTCGAAGAACAGCTGAATCGATAATGTCGGGACGATTGGTTGCACCAATAATAAAGACATTCTTTTTTGCTCCCATACCATCCATTTCAGTTAAGATCTGATTGATAACTCGATCAGCAGCACCACCACCATCTCCAGCACTACCACCTCGAGCTTTGGCTAAAATTAAACGAAAAATAAAAATATATACTTTGATAATTATTTAAATTTTACCGATTGAATCTAATTCATCAAAGAAGAGAACACATGGTGCAGCTTGACGGGCTTTATCAAAAACATCACGTACGTTAGCTTCTGATTCACCGAACCACATTGTTAATAATTCTGGACCTTTGACTGAGATAAAATTTGCTTGGCACTCATTCGCAATAGCTTTAGCTAATAATGTTTTGCCTAAAATAAACAGAAAAAAACTATAAATATAAATAAAATTAGATATAAGATATACATACCACAACCAGGTGGGCCATAAAAGAGAACACCACGTGATGGTGTCATACCGAATTTGAGAAATTTTTCAGGATGTTCAACAGGATATTGAACAAGTTCTTGTAATTCACGTTTGACACTTTCCAAACCACCAATATCTTCCCATGTAGTTGTTGGTATTTCAACAACAGTTTCACGTAAAGCTGATGGATTCGATTGGTTAAGTGCAAATCGAAAATTTTCTTGTGAAACAGCTAATGAATTAAGAATTTCAGCATCAATTGTATCTTCCTCTAAATCGATGACATCCATTTTTTCTCGGATTTGTTGAAGAGCTGCTTCTGAACATAATGATGCTATATCGGCACCAACATAACCATGGGTTTCATTACCAATTTGTACAAGATCAACATCATCACCTAATTTCATATTTTTTGTATGAATACGAAGTACTTCTAAGCGACCAACAGCATCGGGTATACCAATATCGACTTCACGATCAAAACGACCGAAACGACGAAGTGCTGGATCAATTGAATTTGGTCGATTTGTTGCTGCCATGACAATAACGTGTGAGCGTTGTTTAAGACCATCCATCAATGTTAACAATTGCGATACGATACGACGTTCAACTTCACCATGTGTTTTTTCACGTTTTGGTGCGATGGCATCGAGCTCATCAATGAAAATAATAGCTGGAGAATTCTATAAATAAAATATTATTGAATATTTTAATTATTTATAATTAAATTATTATCTATTTACTTTTTCAGCTTCTTCAAAAGCTTTGCGTAAATTTGATTCTGATTCACCAGCTAATTTGGACATAATTTCGGGTCCATTAATTAAAAAGAAAAATGCACCGGTCTCATTAGCGACTGCGCGAGCAATTAATGTTTTTCCTGAAATATACAAGTTATTTTTGTTTTTTTATTTATTCTAAATAAAAATTAATCATACCTGTGCCTGGTGGTCCGTAGAGGAGAATACCACGTGGTGGTTTAACACCAATTGTTTTGAATAACTGTGGATGTCTTAGTGGTAATTCAACCATTTCTTTAATGAGAGCTAATTGTTTTCTTACTCCACCAATATCATCGTAGCCAATTTCATTCAACGATGCTTCTTCTTCTTCACGTTTGATTGGGTCGCCTTCACAATGGATGACTGTATCTGGTGCAACGATACAGTATGGGCTTGGATCAGTTTCGATAACTTTAAATTCTACGGCACGCATAGCAGCACGAACAATAAAAACATCACCTTTCTTCACCGGTCGATAAGCTTCAAGGAAATACGGTTTTAAATAAACTTCAAATAAATTTCCTGTCATTCCTTCTACTGTATCATCGATTGGTAAAACTTGAATACGTTTACCATATTTTGCATCTGAACAAGCTTGAATAGAGACAATATCACCGGAACGTACACGTAAATTGTTGCGTACAACACGATTCATTAAAATACGTTCATTTGAACAATTGTCATCAGCAAGAACGATACATATTGTTTCACGACGCTTTTTTCCTTTGAGTAAAACAGTGTCACCACGGAATAATTGTAGTTCATCCATTTTTTGTTGAGATAATGCAACAACACTGTTATCGTCATTAGTTGAATCATCAACAAGTAAACGATTTGGACGTTCTTTACGATTTAAAATTGCTGTTGCAACTTTATCTTCCTTAGATGGATCGCCTGCTTTAGCCATTGATTGTTATTTTCAATGAGAAAAAATAATCTATATGAAATCTAGAAAGATAGTATTGATATAGAAATAAATAATGATAAAGAAAATATCATTTAAATAAATTTTTAAAAAGATTATTTTCATGACTATTCATTGATGTTATGAATATTGTTGATCAAACAGAAGAATTGATGTTGATGATCCTAAATAATTAACAAGAGATAAATTTGGATAAAAATTAAAAAGTTTAAATAAACACAAGATTGATGTTAAAATCTTTCAGAACTAAATAAGTATGTCAATGGATACGAGAATAAAAATTTTATTGAAATAGTTTAGAACGAAGCTGTCTAATTGAAATAAGCATTAAGTTAGACGAATTTCGTTTAGCTGTATACAAAAAAAATTGTAGTTCTAATTATAAAACTCTCCTTCATATGAAATTTCCGGTCTATTTGAACCATTAATATTTAAACGATATCTTTGACGTCCATCAGGTAACATTGTTTGTTCCATATGTTGTTGAATATATTCACAGTGACCTCCATTATGTAATTTATATGAATTCGATGTCATGTGTTGTTCATAAGTAATCGTTGGTTGTTTATAAAAATTATCTATGGCTTGGAGATAATTGTTATTTACTGTTGCAAAATTATCCATCGGTTGAAGATAATTATTATTTGTTGTTGAAAAACCATCCATGGGTTGAAGATGACTATTATTTATTGTCGAAAAATCAGCCATCGGTTGAAGATAATTATTATTGGTTGTTGAAAAATCAGCCATAGATTGAAGATAATTATTATTTGTTGTTAAAAAAGTATCCATGGGTTGGAGATGACTATTATATATTGTCGAAAAATCAGCCATCGGTTGAAGATGATTATTATTTATTGTTGAAATATCAGCCATGGGTTGAAGATAATTATTATTTGTTGTTGAAAAAGTATCCATAGGTTGGGAATAATTATTATTTATTGTCGAAAAACCATCCATGGGTTGGATATGATTATTATTTATTGTTGAAAAACCATCCATGGTTTGGAGATGACTATTATTTATTGTCGAAATATCAGCCATGGGTTGAAGATAATTATTATTTGTTGTTGAAGAATCTGTCGATGATTGCATTTGAATCATTTGTGGATAATTATTTCCAATACCAAATTTTGTCATAGTATTTCGAATATATTCACTTGATGATAAACTTGAACCATATTGAGCAGTATACTTATGTGGATCTACACGAATTGTTCCAAGATTATGAATATTTTGAACAATATTAACACGAGGAGCATCATGTGTAATAATCGTATTTTTTTGAATTGGTTTTTGAACCAATGGTTGATCTCGTTCAACTACTACACGTCGTTTCGGTGGTGTTTTATAGGGAAGCCATTTTTCAATAATAATAGGCTGAGGTTTTTGTGGTAAAGCTGCTTGTCTTTCTATAATTACTTTACGTGGGGATGGTTGAGGCGCAGGTAAATATCTAGTAATAATACGAGAAGGCTCAACAGGTGGTGGCGTGGGCGGACGTTCGCGAATTATAAGCGGTGGTGGAGTGATAGGAGCTGGGGGATATCGACGAATGACAAGCGGAGGAGGTTCAGGAACTTGAGATGCTTGAATTTCTCGAATAATAATAGGAGCTGATGGAGGTGGAGTAGGTGGCTCTAAATAACGTATAGATATGTCTTGTCGATAATTAATTTGTTTATTATTAGGACGTTGAATATGTTCTGTGCATGGATCGTATAGAATATTGGTTAACATTGTCTTATTAGATAATTGATTGGCTGCATTCGTAGACGAAGAACGTTGTATATCTTCTACCGAATTGATCGAATTTTTGCCGGAAATATCACTATTTCGACGTTGATATTGCTTTGTTTCGTATTTGCTTTGTAATATAGTTTCAGAAGTGGGTGTATGTCCGTGTGAATAGAAAACATCGTCATTACTCAATGATATAGACGGTGTATGGCTATCGATAGTGGTTGTCGAACGAGTTGCAGTTTCAATTTTACTTTCAGACATTTTACTAACTTTATTTTTTTCTCTATCATCCTTTTTATATATTCTAAATTACATAGAAATGAGTAATTAATGATTCGATATGAATATACAATAAATCATTCAGGTGTATCTGAATACTAACTTATGTGGGATGTAACAGTGTCTGCTGTTTTATTAATTGCTAACGAAGTTTTTTTTTATATATGCATATCAATATCATCTATTATAATTAATAAACTGATCTTAAAAATATTCGATATCATCAAGTACCGAATGAGAAACAAGATAAACCTTTGGGTAATATTTCTATATTAAATAATCGGTACATATCTACAAAGTACGGAGTTCGAATCTCGACGCTAACAGACATAGAATGATCGCGAACAAATGACTCATGGCTGTTTGTTTCGAATCATCTATCGCATAGCACACTGAACACGTGATTAACATATATAAAAAGTTCTTGCGTCTAATGTCCTTCAACTTATCCAGGCCTTATATTCTTTTCGTATAGGTATTTTCCTTTCTTTCTTTCTGTTATCCTAGCTTTCACGTTATTCTATAGAATGTTCGTCTTAAAGATTTTTCCTTTGTATGGAATGAAAGAGAGATAAATAAATTACAAGTCTCATAGCCCCATACTGCAAGTACCCTAAAGACAGGGCATTTTTTCTCTTTCTTCTTTCTATACTACTTAAAATGAAATATTTCAATACTTAAAATTAATACTTACAGTGACGATCTTGTTTATTTTATCAAATGTTGATAACGATAAATTTTCAAATATTTTCATTTTTCGATCACCAAGTATTCTTACGCTTGGTAACATTAAATGCCGACTAGTCTAAAACAAATAGTGAACATTTATTATAAGATGTATATATATATGTATATATTCGTATAATACGATTTCGTAATCACTGAATAGAAGAAGAAGAAATGATTCTTTTGTTTTTTTTTATCATGAAATATCTAATCGCTTAGTCATTGGAGCGCAGTGTGATACGACAAAACCACGTCATATATGACTCATATAGACATTCTATTCCAAGTAATGCATTTATCATTCGAAACAGATATATTATCTTTTTTAATCCCGAAAACAAATTTTAAGTGGTTCATTAAAATATAAATATCATATATATCAACAGAATAACAACTCATCTTCATTAATTTATTATTACAGATTTTTAGAACTTACATAATAATCATGCTAAAATTAGTATCTCTTATTTAACGCTAGTCAAAACACTTTACATATGAAGATCACAATGATCATAGACTGATTTCTAACTCAAAACTATACGAAATTGAATATTCATTAAATCTAGGGGTGTCACTTTAACTTTAACTTTAAGTTTAAAGTAAAATTTCGAGTTGTTTAAAACTACTATATAAAGAAGTTTAAAGCAACTTTAAACAACTTTAAACTTTAACTTTTCGTTTAAAGTAAAGTTAAAGTGACACCCCTAATTAAATCCTACCAGTAAAACTTTATGTAAATTGAAAGTTTTAATTTTTGATGAGTCATCGTTTTATATAATAAATTCACAGATTTCTTGCACAATCATTTTATAATTCTTTCTGAGTTTTCATTAATAATTGCTTACATGTTATTCATAGCAAGTCTATAAGCTAAAGAAAAAAACAACAGGTTTAATTCTAATTTTTATTATCAAATAAAATATTTTACCTCATATTAATATTGCTTCAAAATCTTGTCTTATTATTTTTGTTCGGCAATGTTATCACGTAAGATTAAGTACACATCATAAAAAACCACATCAATAAATTTTACTTGATTTTTTGCCATTTGCTTTCACAAAACATCGAACAACATCTGTGGTATCTAAGGCCGAATATGCATCGAAGAGATATTGACATTGGTTATCGTTGACAAAAACAAAACAGATGAGTATCTAACAACATAAAGAAAAGTTTTGTTATTATTATTAAGAAAGAAAAGAATACTCTATCTATATGATGATTACCTGGTCAAATAAGGCTTGTTACAAACGTATTACAGCAGCAGTGAAAATTAAAGCAAATGTTTACTAGATTTAAGCAGAATTCGATGTGACTCATTTAGTTTTATATTTAACCTATCAGATACTGCCAAGACATTAGGAAGAAAAGGAAATAAATAGAAAAAAATATTTTTTCTAGATTATTTTCGTTTTTGGTTCAGAAATTACTTAGTATCATCAGTGTTTTTTCTAACATAGTTAAACAACATGAAAAAAATTATTATATGAAACAAGCAAAATTTACAGTTGAAATAAACAAATGACAGTGCTTTTATCCATGTGAAAATATTTGAACTGTGTCATGGTGACTATGCAAAAGAAATATCTAGAACTAATCATTAATCTTAGAAGATTTTTATTCTGATTTCATCACTGTCGACGTGTTGACTATGAATAAGAAATGGACAACACTGTTATAGTTTCTTCTAGAACTATATGTATATAGATGACGCTACTTTACAATAATTACCTTTGTCGATGAAAAATTTATGTATAATGAGTATTTGACAGGAATTGTATAATTCTCCAAGACCATAAATGTATGTAGAAGTAAGTTTTTTCAATTTGATTCAAAAGTTACAGATGTCTCATTGTTTCGAACTTTAATCATTGTTTGGTCTTGATAAAACTCTAAAATGTCATTTCGCTAAGATAATACCATACCTACGAAATTATTATATGACAGAAATGTTGATGTTTATCCTATTATATATTTGAAGAAAGGAAGGTGAATCTAAAGTGGCTGACCGACTGACTGACTTGCAATACGATAGCATAGCTATTTATAGATGCATGCGAAGAGAACAAAGAGAGAGAGAGAAAGAAAGAGATAAATGACGGACGGATCAGAATCCGTCAGACCTAGCTTAGACAAATTTGAATTCGCCACCTTGAAATGAATGAATTTGATTGGATTTCTCAAGATGCGATCACTTATATGATAAATAATAGATATTTGAAATATTACATGAAATAGTTGATAATGAAAATAAAATAAATAAAACTTTACCAAAAATCCAAGTAAATTGTAATGGAATTGGTGAGAGGAAATTGCCAATATAAATAAAGATAAATATTTTCGATTGACCTGTATCTACAGGAAAATATATACTATAATCACCTACAAATGAATACCAACATATAATGTACCGAAACTTATTATACTAGAAATATTCCAGTTACTAATATTATTTGTTCTAATTATAGTTAAAGATGTCGACAAATAATATTCATATACAATATAAGTCAAACATTTTCGTCTCAATTAAGAACACCTATGACAAAATTTTGTCGATCAGAACAAAACATAATATCTTATCTCAAAATAATCTTATCATATTTTTTATTGAATCTATCTAGAGAAGTTCGTATTTCAAGTAAAATATTTAAAAATAAAGAAATTTATAGAAACTTTTCAAAAATTTGAATTCATTATCAACATATTTCTAATTCTTATTCTATAGCAAAAAATGTATCTATTTTTCTACCAAATAATGCTGCAAAGTGTTTATAGGTTTTTGGAAAATATGAGAAACTGAAATCGATTTAGTAGCAAAATAATAAGTCTGTACTAGCTGGAAAAAATTCAATGTAAGCACTTTGACAGACTTTTATCAACAATCGTTATATTTTTTAAATACCGTTACCTTGATTAAATTGTTCAAATATCATTTTCAATTATATCCATAGCCTTATTTTGAATCTATATCGATATTAGTTGGAAGACTCAATAAACTTGTACTTTCCTTTCTTGTTTTCTTTACTAACTTACTTTCGAACGGGTACAACTCTAAATCAAATCTTATCATTTAAAAAAAGAACCTTTATTATTTTATTAGAATATTTCTTTTTAAAGCTCTTTGTCATAAAAAAAAAGTCATTTATAGTCCACATATGAAATACACATTAATAAAATAGCAATAATAATAATTTCAACTGCTGTAGATAATTTATCCTCCGTTACAACACGAAATCTTTGAGCTCAACAAAAAATATAATTCTACATAAACTTGATGCTGAATCAAAACAAGCTATTGCTGCCATTACAAAGACGAATGCAGATGAGGGTTTGGGTATTGTAAAAAAGAATTCAAGGTTTGATTTTTTACCAACGTTAAGATATAAACAAAATAAAAAATTACATTTATGTAGTTAGCGGTGTTTATATGTATTTCTTATGTGAGTGTGACTTTTCATACATTTTTATACATGAATGAAGCAGATAAATCACAAGTAAGCTGGAAAAAACCAACAAAACAAGTAAAAGTGTAATCATTGATATATGAAGGAAGTGATGCTGGAGATACCTGGGTCACGGAAAAAACAATAATCAGCGGCCTAGAAAGGACGTTATCTTGGAAAAAAACATAAAAGGAAGAGAACGAAAAAAGAGGCGTAACGGGTGCTTTGAAGCATACATTATTGAAAAATTATGAGTAATCAAGTCGTATATAAAGACAGCAATTACCTGTATATACTTGTATGTGTTATCTATTCATTAAAGAAGACGAAGTTTTTTTACAGTTTTATGTATACCTGGTGAGTATTATACATAAAATATCTTTACTCTTTAGTCATTTTAGTTTGTTCAATCCTCTCTTATGTTGAGATTAAGTATAAACTGAGCTTTACGAATGAGTACATACCTATAGAAAAAAAATTGATTAATTTTGAAACGTTCCTAGCGCTTTCTTTCTTAATCTTTGAAGGAAATGGATATATTTTATTATCTTTTGATACATTAAACACAAACAGCATAGATCGAATTTTCTTTGTAGCAAAAGAGAGTGATATAGGCTCACATAAATAATATACATAATTGTTACCATTAATCTACTAGTAAGTGATCATTTTTAGTTAGATATTATTTTTGTAATTTCTCTGCATTAAATTTAATAAGATCTTGTTTTTCAATTTTCCATTTTCCAAATCAATTAATTAAGAAGAAAATACAACATCCTTCTTTCTATGATTAACTAACAGAATAAAAATACACACTATTGACATATCTATTTTTTATTGGATGTTGCGAAAAATAATGAAATTTGCTCATTTTCTTCTAAATCTAAGACAAGAAACGCTAGATGTAATGCTGAATTAACAAACTAAACTAATTCGTAAGTTAGGATATTGTATGTATAGTTTCATGCTTTTTCTTCAGATTTGATCATCTATTAGATCTTTAGTATAAACAAGTCTTGATGTCATCTTTGTGGAGTTTAAAATGGTTGTGGGTATATCTTTTAATTGGTCAATTTGCTATACTAAATGTGAGAACGGCTTGGCCTACATCTGATTTCACCAATATACAATTATTGGGCATTTTTGGTAATGGATTGAATATGAATGATTCCACTCCAGGAACTCTTTGGGCTCGTGCAATGTTCAACGCAGCAATGTTGCTTTCTCAGCAATATAATATAACAATTGATGGACAATTTATTGGTTCGCATCTAGTAGCAAGTGGTGGCATAACAATGAATGCTCTTAGCAGCTCATGTCTACTAATATCAACTGCAAACATTGTTGGTATTGTGGGACCAACATTCTCTCGAGAGACTCAGGTTATTGCACCTTTTGCTGCACAACTTTCCATTCCTGTGGTATCCTACTCTGCAACAGATCCTGGGTTATCTGATCGAGGAGCTTATCCTACTTTTTATCGTACAGTTCCATCAGA